GGGAGAAATCTTCCAAACACTTAGGATACAATAAGAGGAATCATAAAAAACGTGGTGAGAAGGGGAAAAAGATCTCGTACTATTCATGTCTGAAATTTGATGTGTTGTCGTGCATGTCATTTGGAGATTGTCTGCTCACTGGAAAGCTTGGAAACCTGGATTTTCACTACAAGGCACTGGGTTTGTGGAGGTTCTGGCATTTGGGTTTTTTTTTCAGATCTCACTGTCTTCTGCTCCATATCCTACATTCAGTCCCTGAGCTGGGAATTGCTAGGGAGTGCAGGAAAAGATTACCCTGTAAAGGGTATGGCATGGCTCTGGAGAAGGGCTATTGTAGAAGCCTTTTTTGGGGACAGAGCTGGGGTTAACTCATGGCAGAAATTAATAAGCTGAATCTATTAGTTATCCAGTCATAAATGTTGTCAAGTAGTTGGCCAGAATGTACCATTTTAGCCACATCCAGAGCAAGTCCTATGACTGCTGAGGAACAGATGAGAGAAAGACATTTGTACCTAATTGGAAACAGTGGTTTGTGTGCTTTTTAATCCCTGATCTTGAAAGGCTCCAGCTGGGGTCTAGTAATGAATATCTTTCCTGCAAACTTACTGTTCTACATTTCCTAATGATGAAGCAAAGGTGACTAATGAATTGACACAGGGGCTTTCATCTCTGCAGTAGATTTGGAGATTCCAATCAGACTGTATCAATCAGTGAACTGAAGTTTTTAGTATCTGATGCCTTGTCTGTAGTAGCAGTAGTGTGAAACAAGTCGTATCCATGCAAGCCTTATGGACAAACCCCAGTGCCACCTCTGGGAGATATTTTTGGCACAGCTTCAGCATAGGGACTCAGGGACAAATTAACTTGAGAGACCAAACAGATTTCACTGATGGCAGTCTCCTTGTCTGGAGTGGCTTGTGGCAGGTAACCATTTTGAAAACAGGTCATTGATATGTAAGTTAGATTTCATAAAAGTCTGACAGATTGTTGCTTGTGATGGATTTATTGTTTGGATATGATGACCATCAAGCCACATTTTCCTTGTAAGTCAAGCCACAGAACAAAGTGGGAAACCACAGGGGTCTGAAGATTCAGCTTCACGTGGTTCTGGTTACAATGGGGGAAATCTCCTTTTGCTAACAAAGGATCTAAGGTAGTGAGGTTCACCACGTTCAGATCCCACTCTGCCGTCCATATATGACTTTATGACTGTCCTCTTATGCTGGGGGCAGGAAATGCCTTGTGATGGTAAATAGCTGAGCCATCTCTGACAGACTTACATCATCACAGAGTCACTAGGGAACCGTCTTCTTGTCTTCCATGGCTGCTTTAAAGACACTTTGTGAGGCTTTCTTCTTTAGCAGACCAGAGAATTCAGACTGAAAGCCTGTCGGGCGGGTCAACCAATGTCTAGGTCAACCAGTCTTGCCCCTTAATTATTCCCTCTGGCATTACATTCACAGGGTGATGGAAGTAGAGGCTAAATATAGGCCCTCTATATATAGGCTCTCTATATACTTGGAATATGTGAAGCCACATCTATACTGTTATTATTGAAATGTACGTTTGCATCATTGTATAATCTGGAGGAGGAGTTGTAATGTGTGTGATAGAACTGAAAAGACTCCAGCATATTTGTGAACCGGTTTCAGGTCCAACTGAAATTGTAACACTATCAGGGCTGACTTATGATGTCATTAAGCATTTTAGAATTTATATCACGTCTAACAGGTAAAAGTTAATTGCTCTGAAAGAATAAAATTTTTGAGACTGATTCGATGTTGCATGGCTTCCTTACAAAAATTAGTGTCATACAAAAATCAATGTGGTCCCTACCGAACAGATTTAAACTTTTTTCGTTGATCTAAAAATCTGCTTCTAAATGAGAAATCAACCTTCATTAGGGTATTTTTAATATGATTAGACGTAGATCAGCATGTAGCCAAAAGTTAATATTTTGGAGAAAAGATAAACCTCCAAATAGAATTTACAGATGCTACTTTGTAAATAACAATGAGAATGGGTTAGTTATGTAGTTTTATAGAGATTACATTGTATTGTTGCAGCTAAATGTAAATACGGATTCGTGTATCTAGGAACAGGAATGTAAATTACATTTATAAGCTCGGAGAAAGGAGAACTAGGAGAAAAGACTGATATTCATGGTAGGTGTAATTGAACAGAAGAATTAGTGCAGGATGGTAAGTGAGGTTCTGGGATGTAAAAGAAAGGGAACGCTGTAAAAGAGTTAAGTTACTTGAAAACCAAAGCACAATGAAAACATTTAGGAGGATTCTGAGGAGAGAGACAGGAATTATTTGAGATATTGAAAATACATTTCCTGTTGGGAAACTTGGAGAGTTTACTTAATTTGCCTGTTGGAAGCCTAGAAGCTTGTTCACTCCTGGTCTGCAAGACATTTCTAACAGCTGACAGAAAGGTTTTCCTGTAGCTTAAAACCTGAGCTGATTAGACCTATTAGAAGTTAAAACAGAAAAATTCAAATTTGAAATAAGGCAATACTTTCAATTTTTCATTGCTTCCTGCAGCACTATTCAGAGAAACGTAACAAAATATTCATGAACCATTTGAAACTTTCTTTATCCCTGATTCTGTTCTCTCTCAGTAGTTGCTGGTAATGTCTTAGGTAGGTGACTGACATTCTTTATTAATTTTGTAACCTCTTCTACAAAAGTAAATACTTACCTGAATTTTAATTATGTAGTAAAACATGTAATTTCAAACCCAGCTAATTGTCCCAAAGTAGTTAATTTATAAATAGCTCTGAATATCTCACACTTACTGCTTCCATTTACCACTTACTTCCTGTGTTTCTCTTCTTGCTGTTTCGAGCAGGGAACCAGAGCAAGGGGCCATATGTAGCTAGATCAAAGCAGGAGCCTGTCCAGAAAGGAGTTGTGACTCATGAATCATAACTAATCCCTTGATTACCCTCAGATGGTATGTTTTATTTCCTTTCTTGTATCTGGCCAGCTGTTGCTCCTACTGCTGATCCTGCTGGTATTTTACTGCTTTTATTGGCACTGCTGATGCCTTTTGGTAGTCATGTAGGAACTGAAACAGGGATCCAGGAGAGTAGTTGTGCTCCACCCAGAGCATTCATGGCTGAGCAGCTGCGGTGGAATTGGCAGGAATGCTTCCTTTCTTCCTCTCCACAACTCTTAAATAGGCCTTGAAGTTTTATTGTGGCAGTTATCACTTTAATATCTGAACAGCTCCCAGGTTAACTGAGTGATGAGGGGGAATCTTATGGATGCTGGATGTTGGCTCCTGCTTAGGAGTCTGTGCTGGTAAAGGTAGAGAGACAGAGAGCTCAGCAGACTTAGTCTTCAGCAGCATTATGGTAGGAAAGACTTCTGAGAACTTACAAATTCATGTTAACATTGGTTTAAAGTTATTTACAAACAATTAATTCATCTGTGTACATGTATACTACCTATTTACACCTGTAATTTTTCTTTCTTTTCCAATCCATAGCTGTAGTATCATTAGTAGTAAACCTGGCTTGAATTTATTATTTTCAGTTTTAATACAGTGTTTGAAGAAGAAATTGGCAACAAAACAGGCCCAGAAAATTGGTTTAAAATAGTTATACATGCAGATAGACAGCCAGCTATTGCTGTCTGAATCTGAAAATCTGTGAGGAAAACAACTATAAAAGTTGCTAATATTATGCACTCAAAGAATGGAGCTAGAACTAGCCACCTTTGTAAAACATGGAACAATAATCTTGCAGCTATTTCTGTACTACACACAGACACATGAAGCTAGGTAGGTTTTCCATTTTTTTTTATCAAGCAGCAAACCAGCTAAGAAAGCCCAGCACTTCATTTATTGACATTATTGATCTAAAACTTGTTTTTCCATCTAAGCCAAAGTGACAAAAACTTCTCCAAAGTGAAACAAGTTCAAGCACTCTCAGCCTGGTTCCCATTAAACATCACAAGAACATTGCGGTTTGACATTTATCTGGCAGCCTCAAATGTGAAAGACCAGTGTAGCTGGTACACAGAGAATGGAAAGGCCTCTTTGGCATCACTAGGGATGCTTTTACCAGGTTAGGGTCAGGTGGGATGACAGCAGAGTGGAAGGAGGTAGTCTCACTTCACTGCAGACTTGAACTATATTTGACCTCCAGGGTACCAATGACTTAGTTGGAAATTGCAAGAACGCTGAGCTGCCCTTTATAGAATTATAATTCCTTGCCATTCAAACAAAAAAAAAAGCTAATTAAGTATCCTTTATCTGATGTAACCCTCATCCAAACAGAACCAGGGATCATCCTGTTGCCGTTCTTAGAAAATGTAGCTGTCGGAAACAATGGTGTTGGTGGCTGCTATTTGAATGTAGACCTTAAAGAATCATGATTCCAAACTTCTTGGTGCCCTTTCCCTATCAATCAAAAAGAATCGTATGAAATAATTATTAGGCTACATAATTATTTTACAAAATAGAAGGTGTTTTTACCGCACATTTCCATTTTAGTACCAATCATTACTTCCCTGAATACTAATAACAGCGTTAAGCATTAATAGCATGTTTTAAGGTAAAGGGTCAATAGTCTAAGACCTATGAAAGAACTCTGAGCATTTGCAATGTAAAAGAAACCTTTTACAGAAAAGTGTTAAATAATAAATGTATTTCTGGAGGAAATGTTATATTGTGCTCCATTTGGAGAGAAATGACAATTTATAGGACTTCACTCAGCTGCCTCTGTATAAAATATCTTTAATAATGCTGTGGCTTCACACTTAATACAGAAGTTCACAGAAAGCTTACAGCTCTTTGAAGAGGTCAGTATTATACTCAGTGAGGGGAAACTGAGGCATGTGATGACTCAGTGCACCAGTAAAAGCACAGGGGTCTGAACTGTTGCCTCAGTCCTCTGAGTGCAAGAAAATGGTGCCTTTTCTGTATTTCCATCTAGCAATCCATCTTCTAATAGTTCTTTTAAAAGTATAATATGCACACAGGGGACGGTGAACTTGTTCAGGAAAGGTAAAGGTACTTGAAATTTTTTTTTTCAAGCTGGTTTAAGCAGCACAATTTGAGGAATGTGGAGGGAAGAGTTAGAAATACTTGGTATCGGTTTGAATTTCTTTGTTATGCCTTCATATATGTATTGACAGACAACCAGAAGAACTGAGACCTCAAGAAAGAGACAACTCAAGTCCAAAATCTCCTTGCCTTATTGAAGTCCATGAACAGACTTTTCATCAAGCAGTCATCTCCTCTCTGTGGCATTATAAGTGCCCCAGTTTCTTCCTTTCAGGTTTACTCTGGTTGTTTTAAAAGAATAAATGGGGTATGAATATTTAAGATCCAAAAAGCTGTCATTTTTCTTCATTAACTTTTTCTCTCCTTATCCTGCAGGTATTTCCCTCGAGAAGATGGAAATGCCTGTGACCACTTTGGATTCATAATCCTGAAGCATTTTTTAAATCTAGATATCCAAACCCTATCTTAAAAATACTAGTAAGGATTCACTCATATGAACAGACTGAAGGAAGAACCACAACTTCTTGTTTATTATTATTATTAATATTATGATTAATATTATTCTTATTTACTGATCTGTGAATACTTGCAGAGGACATGGGTACTGTGAGTTGTAGGGGATCCAAATGAGTCAGAGAGATAATAATGAGGTGGTTGTCATGTGCATGCCCAATACTGAGGGCACTCCCTTCAAAAAGGGACAATATCTTAAGCTTAGATTTCCACTTGAAAACGTGATTATTTATTTAACGAGAGCATTATGTAAAATATGCCCTATCTAAATCTCAAATCTGTGCCCAAATCGGAGTTTCCCAAGTTTCTATTTCTTTTTAATGACTAACCAATCAAAACATACCTTTGCAGAACACATGAAACCAATGAATAATCTTCCAGTGGAGCAAATTCTTTTCCCAGCAGCCACAATGAATAAACAACTTTCAAGCGAGATCGAGACTACTTGGGATTCTTTCTGATTCAGGTTAGTCCTACAGGTCTGCTCATGTTTTCCTTGAGCACCACAGCTCCCACATGAGTCAAGTATTACCTGTCACCAGTTGTCAGCAGATTGCCAGAAGTTACTCTCTCCCATTGTTGAAGGGAGTTGAGTTGCTTTCTGGGAAGAAGCTCCAGCAGCAAATATGACACAGAGTCTGAGTGGAAGGTTGTCTCTCTCGAAGTTGTCCTGTGTTCCACTGCCATGGAGTTTTCTGGTGCATCCATAACCAGAACTTAGGAAACAGTGTTAGTAAGACAATAGAGCTTGTGCCTGTTCTTCTGGTCATTAACAACAATTATTTTATAATGCTATAGAACACATATCTGACTGTTAAAGAGTTAAAGAAAAAAATGAATCCTGTAAAAAATCAGGCCATCGTATAATGCCTCCTCATTGCTATAATGATATCAGTTGCAACAAGTCCAATGGCTGACCTCATTACAAGGGTTTAATTGCATTGTTACACAGTTTCACTTCTTCTCTCTGGCCTCTTTCTCTTTATGACAGCTTTAGAAAGGAATTTCAGCTTGAGGTCAAAGGAAATTAATTACTGCTTTCTTAATCTGTGCTCATCTACATTTAGAAAACTTGGGGCTTTTCACTAACATATTTGTGTCTCATTTCTGTGTAGACCCAAAGTTATAAGACTTTTGTCCTTTGTCAGAGTGCATAAATAGCCTTTTTCATATCTGAGGCCAGATTTTTTTTTCATGTCATTTACAGTTGTGCACATATGGACTGATGCCAGTGGAACCAGTGGAATGTCTCTGGGTATACATTCACTGTGACTGAGGTAAGGCACTTGCAACGCATCTTTAATTCAGACTAAAGATTTTTGGCAGATGCCAGGTGTTAAAAAACCCAGTAACAACAACACCAACCCAAGAAGAAAGGAAAACCCAGACAATATAAGAAGTTACACTTAGGATAAAAGTCAGAAAGAGGACCTTCAGGATTAAGTAGATACTTATGTAGGAGAAAGATGAAAAAATACGTCTCTTTGACAACAGATTTTGCCTGCTACCTACCTCGTGTTTTTACTAAATACATCATTACTTAGTTAAGGAGTATCCAGCTTGTGTTTCAAAGAACTTGCAGTCCAAAGAACACATGTTACAGTGTTGGCATCAGAACAGTGAGGAAGGTGACAGAGACACAATAATTCTTGGTTGGAAAGCAAAAGCATGTGCAGAACGTGGTTAAATGCTTCTGCAGCATGAAATATAAAAATGAAAAGTCATAAATTAGGACCCCAATCCTGTCATTAGGTCTTTTGAGTGGATCCTTGCCTCTTCCACGAACTCTGACTGGTTTCAAGAAGAACCAGACTTCTCCCAAAGAAGAAAACAATGTTGTTAATTTGCTTCTTGAGGGAAAAAGTTTGGAAGGGAAATTACAACGAGACATGTCTCTGGCATGACTTGACAAATTAATGTGAGAGGATATGCCAGTCACAAAGGATAATCTCAACAAGTATTACCACCATGCAACCATGATCTTGTAGTTTATAAGAAATTGTTATGTGCTAGGCACGCGTAAAATTACAATACAAGAAATCCAGTTTTCTGCAGAACGTGTACATGTATTTCTTACATGTACTTTGTGATTCTGATTTATATACATGGAAATGTTGACAGAGATGAAAAATGGCTAAGTTTTGAGCCCTCTGACATAGAACATTTAAAGTTTCACAAATCCATTCACTGTCCTTTGATCAGCTTTGCCACCCACTGAAATTCCTGCTACCAGAACTGCGTGCTCTTTTTAGTTTATTAGTTGCTGCTTCAGTCTCCCCTTTCAAGCAGTAAGATTGGCAATAACAAAACTGCAGCTGCAAAGCAAAGCTAACTCATTGAATATTTTGCCCTTCATCTATCTTGACTGAAATTCCACTCAGTTATAAACATCTGCAGGAAGAGCAAGGTTTCATTTAAGTCACTGGTAAACTCTTAACATGGGACCTGCTTGAATTAGAGTGAGGTTCATTCTCATGATTGCCCAGTTTGTGAAACAGCCTGTGTACACCTTGTGGTGGTGCCAGAAAGCTTTGTGGGGTAGAATTTGAAAATTTCTAGCCAGCCATCCACAGCCATGTGTATGACTGTGTCATCCACAGTGCTGGTTGGAGCAGTGGGACAGGAGCCAGGACATGTTGGGAAACAGGGTGAGTTTGAACTTACCCAGAGTACTCTAGACCTCCCTCCAGGCCTACACCTGATTTCAGATTTTTCTTTAATAATTGTGCTTCTAAGGCAAGCTTGGACTTAAGCATGAGTTTTGACCTAAACAGAAGAAATAATCAATGTACAGATGTAAAGTTCACCAAGACCAAGTAGCTATGCTGAAAAGAGGTCCTGAACAAGCCTAAATTCTCTACAGCCATAAATAATACTACAGGTAGAATGTATCTGAACTAAACTGAGTACCTTGGATAACAATAGTAGTGAAGTGACAGCCACATGAATTTCAGTATGCAATAGCTACTCAGGTGAACAGTCAAGGTTTCATGGGCTTGTACTCAGTCTTTCCTAAAGTATCCACTGAGAGTACACTCATGCTGACACTTAAGAAATTTAGATCAAAGGTGGCTCTAATCATGCTTTAGTCATATTTTTAATTTTGTAAGAGACTTCCCCTTGAAGGGCCTTGACCGAGTCACTGTGTTAGTGCATTATCTGAACTATTTCATTCATTGGCACCAGAGTTTTAGTGCATTAATCGTCCAATAACAAACATAGATCTATTTGGATTGGAGAAGACCTTTAAGATAATCAAACCCAACTGCCAAGTCCACTACATCTACATGTCAGCTGGGACCTCCCAGTTTTACCAGACTGCTGGTAAATGATGGGAAGTGGCTCGGTGAGCACTTCCATCAGCTTCCTGGTACCCTTGGGTGGATCCCATCCAGACTCACAGACCTGTGATGTGTCTGAGTGGTGTAGCAGGTGACTGATCGTTTCTCCTGGAATTATGAGGGCCTCATTCTGCTCCCTGTCCCAGTCATCTGGTCTTACTGTTAAAGACTAAGGCAAAGAAGGCATTAAGTACCTCAGTCTTATCCTTCATTGCTACTTTTTTCCCCTGCACCTGCTAAAGGATGGAGATTCTCTTTAGCCCTCTTTTTGTTGCCAGTATATTTATAGAAGCATTTTTAAATTGTCTTTTACAGCAATAGCGAGACTTAAGTTCTCACTGGGTTTGGCCCTTGTAATTGTCCCCCTGTATAACCTCACGACATCCTTGAATGTCACATCGAGGTGTGAACGGATTAAGTTGAAAGGCCCAGTTAACACAAACATGGCACTGGTGACAGAATTAAGTGCTAATGATATATAACAAAATACTATTACATGAAATAGGATCTTTGTCATCCAGCGTTTTGATTCTGTTTGATAGAACTAGTAGAACAAAATGAAAAACTATTCATCAATCAGAGGTCTGGTTGGGTCAGACACTTTGGTCAAGCAGTGTGAGTAATTCCACCTACCTGCACTATAATTTATTGCAAAATTAATGCCATAACATGCAAAGCCATTGTTTGATAAATTCTTAACCTCAGTAAAAAAAAGCAAAATTTGTTTCTTTCTTTCTCTCTCTCTCTTTTTTTTTTTTTTTTCCTATCCTGACAAGATGAAACCATTATACCAAGTGGGGTTTTCATGATGGTTCACTTCTAATGGTTGAAAAAAGGACCTTGAGCAGGGTTTGATTGACTTTCTGAATCATCAACTAAACCAAGATACACTAAAAAAGGGGACAAAACAGATCACAGGGAGTAATTTTTGTTAAAGTTTACCTGCTTCATTACAACAGAATGAGATCAAGTCTTAGTGGGAAGAATAAGTTTTGATATATGTTACTTTCTATTAGAGTTTTCAGGACAGCTTATTCTTAACCAGACTAAAATACAATAATTCACCAATTCAAAGTTTTAATTGCACTGTTATGAGGTAGGGAGACTAATGGCATATTCTTATTTTTAAAATGTTTAAAATTATAGTTTGTTATAAAACAGGTCACTTATGTCTGGTATTTGATTGGCCTTGATTGCTTTGGAAAATTAAGTTGTTACATTAGCTGTGAAGTAATTTGTAGTTTCTAAAGGTGTTCTAAGGTTTTCGTTAAGTATCATACAGACATACAGGAGGGACCAGGAACTGAGTGGAAATTTAAAAATGACTCAATGTGTCCAGAATTCATAGCAGACCCTCACAACGCTCTCTTGTGAACCTTATTCTATCCATTTCTCAGTGGGAGAAGCTGAGCTGCGCAGAAAGGGTCTTTCCTTTCCTAGAGACTCACAGATATTCTTCCAGCTGCCCCTTTTATTTATTCCTTCCAACATGCTGTTCTGGTGCTTGATGTGTTCTGTCATGCAATGTGAAGAGGAGCAAAATCTTGTAAAACTCTAGGGAGTGAGAAAGGAAAGAGCATCTCTCACCTATCCATTGCTCTTTTTCTTGGTGTGCCTCAGGAATAGTTTGAAAGATGTTGAAACAGATGAGATTATTTACCTGCTCTCTATTCCACCACTTCATTCCTCCATCTCTTTTTCATATATATAGCGAAACCGATACAGCAGTTGAAGGTGGGGTAACAGGAGGAGGTAGAATTGTTTGTTGAAGAGGATTTACCCATGTTGTGTTACTGTTTCTTTGGGATTGCCTCAATGAGAATAGATTTAGGAGGCAGAGACTCTGACTGGAATGAATCTGAATAGGAAGCAAAGGAATAAGGAGCAAGTGCTGTAACTGCAAAGCAGCTCCAGATGTGTTGCTGAACATCGAGGACTTCAGATTTTTTTTTTTTCCCTCTGAGTCTGTTTACTCTGCAAGGTATTCAGACACTATGGTAAAATAAAACTCTTATTTTGGTTTTGTCATGTATGTAAACTGATTTTAGGAGAAAAAGAGGGACACTGCAGACCACTGCAGCTGTAATTGCCAGATGACTTTCCAGGATAAAAAACAAAAAATGGATAATAACATGGAACTAATCAACTAGAAAATAATTTGTGATAGTTTTTACATTTCAGTGCAGGTGAGGCAACCATACACAATAGTGATGTGTTTTATATCTAGAACAGTATCTTAATAAAAAAAGATATAAAATGGAAAAAAATATTGCAAGGATATTGTCATTGACAAGTCTTTCTTTCCTGTATTGTTTCTTTTGAAACTTACACTCAGGGGTTGCAGACTGCAATATCTGGTGACCTGCATAAACTTGTATAGCAGCTACTGTAGTGGTGTGATTCTATTATCTAGACTTCACATCTTACCTGCTGGGAACTTCCAAGAAATGATGTTATTGTACAAGTAATCCAGTTTTTCTTTTTGTTGTGGCTTTCCTATAAATGTGATTGTGGGGATCTTCAAGCACACCATCTCCACCTGTGCGTGTGTATACCTGGAATTGCACCTGAAATTGGGTACCTGCAAACACCTGCAGAACTAAGAATAGTCTCCATTTTATCTAACAAAGCCTTTATATCATCTAACACTCACATGCTGACTGCCCTAAAAGTTTGCTGCCCCAAAGCTCATCTGGAACTGTTTAAGAAGATACGAGCGCAAGAATTTGATTTGCATCCCTGAACTTTGCTGAGTCCGGGCAGAACTTTCAGCAACTGGATCTTAATAACCTCCTATGGTTAATACATTTCAGTGATTTAAAGGGCACGAGTGACTCTCACCAATTTTTGTTGGTGTAGTATCATGGCGTGGATCTTGCTGGTTTTTGTTGGTGTAGTATTGTGGTATGGACCTCACCAATTTGTGTCCCTATGTT